GAGAGATCTCATCCAAGCTTCATACAGTAAACTCCATAGCCAAAGCTCTGTTAAAGCTCAAACCTATTTTGAAGTAAAGTACAAGCTGGACTTGTGTGTTTGTGTATTTGTATTGTTGTATTAAATGTTTGTATGTGGATGAGAATATTGTATAAAGAATATTGATCCAGAATAAGAACTTAGTTCTTTTATTCTCGACTCAGTCCTGTAATAGAAAGGACAACAATGTAGACATATAGCATGATAAATTGCCAATAAATTCCTGGAAAAATCACTTTTATTTGGCTTGATTGCAAGAAACACATTTCCAACCTTAAGATCTGTGCAAGAAAAATTCTTTGGTATTTCTCCCATCATTTTTCCATCCATTCAAGTAAATAAATATAGCTTAGAGCCATAGAGAGACTTCCTTTAGTCTCTCTTTGTGACTTGAACAGTATTTTTACTGATGCCAACATTTCAATGGACTGTACAGAGGTACACTATATTCAGTGCTCAAAATGTTCTTATTCAGTGGAAAAGATATGCAATGAATCAAATTCACCTGGAAAATTTTTTTTCATGAACTTCTGAAAAATATTCCTTTCTCAAAACACCCCTTACATAAAGTAATTCTATGTGAATAAGATACTAGACTTACTGTAATTTCTTCCTCTTGTCCTTGATCTAGTATTCTGGATGGGATTGAGCAAAATACCTGTGATTGGCCAGGAAAAGTATCATCAAATACTGCTGCCAGAAGTTCTGTTTTTTTCTGCAGAGGAAATTTGTTGCCAGTTTTCATTGGACTTTTTTCTAATTGGGTGGTTTGCCACCTGATTCGTCTTTATCCCAGATTAGTTGTATGCCAAACAGATTCTGCCATAAACAATCAGCTACTTGAAGAATTATTCACTGATTATTCCAAATTAGATATCCTCATTTTTAGTGACTTCATCATTTTTAAATGCACTTTTTGAAGGTTTCCAACGTTTTTGTTTTTGCAATTACACCTGTTTTTTTGTGATGGATGATAAGCTCTATAAACCTGTGGAATTGTTTCTAATAATATATTTAAGAAATAAGTAGAACTCAATCAAGCTATTTTCGAATGTGGATTAAATTCAGGCCATTCATTTCGCAATATTTTGACACAGGATGCAACTTCGGACTATTAATAGCTCGAGTATTTTTTGCGTCCGTTCAACTCATTCTTCATTCGTTTTTTAATCCCGCATTTCATAGGATGCAAAAACACTTCCTCAAAGAACTGGTTCTTCGACTTCAGCAAACGAACATTTTGGGGATTTGAAGAATGCAAGTTCGACTGAAAACACGTTTTCATCCAGTCAAGTTGTTCATCTCGACTCTTGGAAACGCAAAGACAAGGAACCTGCTCATAATCGAAGAATTGTCAAACGCTTTTCGGACGTTGTTCAAGACATGGTAGACTTGAAGATTTTGAAAGCTTAGATGCAAGAAAAAAATGGTTAGAGCTTTTTTGTTCGTGTGAAATGAAATATCTGGAGTTACTCTGGTCTTATTTTTAATCCGATTTAGTCCAATTAAATAAACGAAACCCTTTTTCGCCGCAAATGATTTCAGGGAATAATAACAAAATCTTGGTTCGTTCACGCCCCAAAAATGTTGGCGAGTCGTTTTTATTTGGATTTAACTGGTTTTGAGGTTTGTGTAACATACAGAATAATACATTTAACGGTTATTATGGAAAAGCTGCCTCATGCAAACAATGGAAAAGCTGCCGATTTAATTCACAATTGATCAATTCATTATTATTTTACTACTTATTTATCTTGTCAGATATCGAAGTCCGTTTCTTAAGGTAACGTTTCGTCAAATTCATTTCTTGATCGTATCAGAAAACTCATTAGGAAATAGGAAGTGGTTTTTCGTGGTTTTCTTTGAGCTTGAATTTAGCTCATTAACTTCCCGTATTTTTTCGAACTTCATCCCAAAATTTCTTAAGCTGAAAAGCTGTTTTAGACCAAAATCACGATTAATTATTGGATACAATTTTGTCCAAAAGTCTTCAGGCATCCTTTCCAATACGTATTTAATGCGCATTTCAAATCTTGTCTTCGATGCCTTCCATCACAAGAAATTAAGTAAAATATTGTCCATTCATTTTATTCGCAAAACCATCAAGCCTCTGAGAAAATAAATTATTAGCTTCAAAATCGTTCTTGCCGTATTTACAAGAATGAACGAGAATCTCATTTCCAGGGCGAAAAATACTAAATTTATTGAATGCTGGAAGGTATAAATGATACTGCTATTTAATCAGATTTCATTTTTGAAAGTTTCCTCCAACAAATTTGTGACCTGAATTTCCCATCAATCCAGGAAATATGGATACGCAGATAATTGATGGATAGCAAATGAATCAAAACTGTCTGCAATATTCATAATTATCCTGAGGAAAGATGCATTTCTTACGTTCTTCAAAATTCTTCACGAATAACAACCTTGTCAAGGTTGGTGTCCTCAACAACATCAGCCTTATCCGCCACTTTTATCCTCCAGAGGTCGCCATAATTTCATGGCTTCTGCAAAGGTTTTCCAGAGAGAAACAGCCGAAAGTGCCAAACAACGCAAATTGACGGAAGTGAAACGGTATGTGTTGGAACCGAAGAAAGCCTATGTTCGAGATGATAGGACCAAGTCTGTGCCAGTCAAGCAAGGGTTGCAAGGGTTCAGACCTTCCATCAATCCCGACAAATGGGGATATGCGTGCCCTGCTTGCGGGGTGAGTGCAATTTCCAGGGATAATTCGGGAATTCATTTCCGGGTTCCTGTTTAACGAGGCGAAAAACATGGGATTTTTTGCAAACTTGTTTATAGATCTTATTCATTTTGCGACGGAGAAATTTAGTGGGATGACCCCGGCATCTGTATTATACTATTCCACTCAAGGACATTCCGAGTGCAAAAAGAAATCTGCCCGCGGGCTTCTGATGGACTATATATGTCTCGAAATGTTCAAAATTTTCCAACGTTTTAATCACGACGAATGGAAAATTTTTATTTTTCATAAGTTGAATATGACTTGAACAAATAAAATTTAAATTATTATTTTACTCAAATTCCTTATCAAAACAGGCTAATTTTGCACTTATTTTTCAGGAGTTCTTAAAAATGCAACTTATTGATGCCTATCAAAAAGGAGTGACTGAATAATTTGGCCAAGCCACCTTTGCAAAGTCAGACTTTTCCTTACGTTATTTTTTAGACCAAGGATCAGCTGGGAATAAATTGAAAATCTCAAAAAAAGTTTTTCTTTGCTCGAATATTGTTTTTTTTAATTACCTCTTTTTAAAGCGTTAGTAAACGCCTTTCTCTAAGTCTGTAATTTCGATTTTGAATCTCAAAAGAGTCGCTTGAGTCGTCAAGTTTTTGTTGGGGTTAATTAATTAACAAACATTATATAGAGTTTAAAGTGAATTACTTTCATTGCTTGACTCAAAAACTCTTTTTTTTTCATTGAAGGTGACACCAATGCAGCTCAAAACCTTGAGACCGTTGTCAACCAAATGCAAAATTTTTTCATGCATTTGCTTTCCTTTCGGAATCATTTTCGTGTTGCTCCGTTGGCTCAGATGGAGAGTATCGCAGAAAAGATCCTTTTATTTTTGTCCCAGATGCAAACACGTGTCAGAAGATCCCTTGTCAGAGGCCCGTCACATGGCAACCGACGCTGATCAATCCTTGCTCATGGTATATTACAAATTTTTTTTTAATACTGTACTGAACAANCCTGCACTGTACTTGCTAATCTGCAGAAGGACAAAGGCTATTAGCTTTGATAATTCAGTTTCCAATATGCAAAGAATATTTCCACTGAAGCTAGGAGAAAAATGATAGCCCTTGTTTATTTTTTTTTTGCAGCAAAAGGCGGATGCGCTGTGGACAGAAAAGCGGATTCAAGGACGTTCAAACCTGGGGAAACGAGCCAATACCAGTAGTGTGATATCAGATCTTGGATTACAGTCGGGTTCTTCTGATTTCTCCCTGTCTTCCAGTGAAGGAATTGCATCCTATAATTATCTAATGAAATAAATTGAGACTTTTGAACGAAAGAACGCTATATATACGCACTGTCACAAACGGGTATAAACAAAACAAAAACCTTGTTTGACAGATCCGTCTTAAAAACGAAGCCATCTGCTGATCAGATAATGACGTAGTGTTTCTGATTCAAACATCCTTCCTTCTGTGGGAAAATGAATGAGTTGGTACAACGAAAGAACACACTTAGATGTTTCATAAGTTCTTCAGATATTCACTATTTTCCCCTTTTCCATCAGGGCATATTTTTCAATTCGTGCAATTGGAATAATTATACGAAGCAATCCTTCCGTGAAAAAAAAAAACACTGCGACTCTGGAGACATGTTTCAACGACAAGCATCTCTGTTTTTAAGTTTTGACTGATTTTTAATAAACAAAGACATCTGATCAGACAATGACAATATAGATTTCTCATAAATAGCGTTCAAGTCAATCAATTTTTGGTTGAGGCGTCAAAAAAGGTGTTTTCGAAAGTTTTTTTTCGTAATTACGTAAAATCTCATGACCTGTCTACTAAATTAGGTTCAAATAATGTTCCCTCGCAATAGTTCCTTTCGAAAAATTCACTCACCTTAAAACCACTTTGAAGGAGTTAAAACGATTCAAATTTTCTACTCTGTTTTAAAAACAGCATTTCTAAATATGTATTCACTGGTAAAAGCAGGGGGAAATTTTTCTCACAAGAAAATCACAGATTACTTGAAAAGTAACACTACAAGGTTCTTTAAGTGAGATGCTTTCTTCTTGTGGGACAAACTTTTTGTTGAAGCTCCCTAAGTTGAATTATTTCCCAGGTCCCTAGAAACTTGACTTACAGCGGTTCAACTTTATCTAGAGCAGTGTTCCCCAACCTTTTGGGACCACAGACTGGCAAATTTCAAAAAAATTCACAGATCCGCAAATTTCCAAAAAAATTCTGCATCAGACTGGCAGTCTCATGAAACTTTTGCAGGCTCGCGAAAGTTTCGGTTGAATATTATTGAGCAGGTATTTACTAAAACGAAAATACAGTAAAGAATGTCACCAAAAAATTAGAAAATTTCACCTCAGTCTCTTTCCAAAAAGTCTTAATTTATAATTTTATTAAAGTAAAGTCGTGTCCACTTTTAAACAGAGTTCACTTCTCTTTTCAGTTGAAAATAAATGTAGTCTATCAAGTTCACGGTATGTCCTTTCAAATTAGGGAAAGATAACAGACGTCATCCGGATTTTTGATAAATTTATTATTATACATTTACAATTTCTGGTGACTGGCCAAAAACTTCTGCAGACCAGCGCCAATCCGCGGGCTACAGCATGGGGAACACTGATCTATAGAAAAAAAACCGTAATTCAAAAAATCATAGAACAAATTTGTAAAGAGTGTTTGTCCAGGATATGCTATAGAAATAATGTAACATTATCGAGTATCGTACATTGAATGAGTTTTGAACGAAACGAGGTCATGATTACATTTCACAGCGTCTGGCGACGAGGGTTCAGTTGTCGAAGATACTTCATACCGTTCAATTCATAGCGTGAATCGTGAAAACTGCAAAGATTTTTTGAATATATTGACTTGAGTCTGATGTGCAATTTATTTATTTATTTTTTACTCGTATTTGTCGTCTGCGAAATTCTGATGAAGGAGGAACTGAGTGAATGCGAAAGTTTACTAAGTTCTTGGTTGAATGAACTCATATAGTTCATGATAAGGAATGCTCAGCAAATCTACCGACTTGTTCAAGTGCTCAATTTTATTGGAAAATATCCCAGAAACAGGGCAATTCACGTTTGATCTAGTTTATGTTAGGTCAAATGCCTTTGACAAGACAAGATTTGATGACGGACAAAAAGCTATTATGAAGTCGTTTTCATTTCTCATTCTTGGCCAATGAGACAGAGTCAGAATCATCCTCTTTTCACCTTGGAAGTGTTTTGAAGATCATCCCCATTGTGAATTTTTAAAAGATTTACACAAATCTGAACAAAGTACTGCTTTGTTGTGTTGGGACTTCAACAATAAAAAAGTAGGTGTTTCAATCTGAGAAATATCTGCCCCATCCCAGACTGATTTGTTTTGTTGAAGTATGGTATATTAGAGTTTTTGTATCATACTGTATTAATTTCTTGGATCCTGTCTGTCAGGGGCTTATGAGCCTCTCTGGCAAAGCTTAGATTTTGCTTAATCAAAAGCAAAAATGAGTTGTAGACACAATTGGCCATTTGCGGCCTGAGGTAAGTACCTCAACTTCAGTTTATGTCCAGTCAGGTGTTTTCAAATAATAATAATTTCACACTTGGAAAATTTGAAGCTCTTCTCTCTGCTGAGTTCAGACTGCAAGTGCCTCCTTCCTCTTGGGATTTTGCTCAGCTTCTGGTTCTCATCAGTGGAAAGTTTTGGTCAAGGCTTTCCACTGATGTGTGACTAATTTTTCTGCACATGAAGTCCTGTTCAATTTCTTTGCTCACAGGGCTGGTTCACATGAGTGGAATGAGCCCTACAGATCATTATCTCCAAGGCTAGCCTGTTGGTGGTTTTCCTAAGAAAACCTGTTTGTATATTTGTTCAGTTATTCCTGTTAATAATTCCTCTTTCATTTGCAGGTTTGAATTTTTCCCAAATACAACATCAATGATGGGGCATTTTGTACGCCACATTGGTTGTTGTACTTTACTGTACCAGCCTTGCTTGGGTGACATCTAGTTGTCCCAAGCTAAGTTGCAAGTCTGCGGGTGACATCTGTTTGACCCGGGATACTGTGTTAGAGCTATTTAATACGTGATTTGTTTCAAGGTTTGTCAGGTGTGATGTTTGTTTAGGGTAGGATCAGGTGTTACCTTAGGCATAGGGTTTATGTCAGATTTTGAGTGTGGTTGGGTTTTAAGCCAGGTGTTTGATAATAGGCATTGGACCACATGTTATGCCAATTTAGTTGTTGAGTTAGGTTTTTGTTTTTACTGTTCAGAGCTCTTACTGTTTTGGTCTCATTTTTGAATGCATTCAATTTATTGGTATAAGCACTGTTCTTGTGTAATTCCTGATTTGAACGCTTGCTATTTTATGATGGGCTTTTTGTAATTGATTTTATAATCTTCCAATCATTTTTCTTTCATTGTGATTTTCATCAAATTTCACAGCTTTCCCACCCTTGTGACACAGTTTCATTCACGTTGACAAAAAGGTTTTGATAATTTTGAAATGGAGTCTTTTTCAGATAGGAAAAATATTTTTATGTAATGGAGATCTCGGGATTAGATCTCCCATTGTGGACAGTTCTTTTCACCGGATTCGCGATTTGGTTTTACAAATTTTTGTATTCCGGGTACGAAGTTTTTGCGAAGCGAAGCATACCAACTGTTCGACCCATTTACCCGATTTTCGGGAACCTTTGGGGAGTTTGGAACAAGGTTTGTCCTTTGAAGCGAAACCCTCGAATTTTTCAGTTTTTTCTTTTCAATTAACAATTGCAATTTTTCACAGGACATAAGAAAGTGGCAACAAGAAAATGTGCGTCGATACGGGAAATACTTCGGGTGGGTCAAAATGGAAACTTTTCAATATGCTTTTGGTGAAAGAATAATTGTGTCCTGCACAGATTTTATGATGGCAAAGCACCTGTGCTTTATGTCAGTGACCTGGACATGATTAAAGAGATTCTCGTGAAGAAGTTTGATTGCTTCACTGACCATCAAGTGAGAAAAAAAAACTCTTGTCAAACATGATCAACAAACACCGGCCACAGCATGCGTAATTTTTCAAACTGTTTCTTTCAAGTTTTTTTCCACTGGCCTTGAACAGCACGAATACATTCGAAAATTCCTATTTGTCATGAATGGAGAGGATTGGAAAGATGCCAGAAACGCGATCAGCTCGGCTTTTTCTGGAGGAAAGATCAAAAAGGTGAATAAAATTTTGCTCTAGTGCTGCTCGAATTACAAAAAAAGACGATTTTTCAAATTTTAAATATTTGTAGATGTCTTCCATGATGGTGGAATGCTGCCAAAGAATGGTTGACGATGTTCGAATTGTCACTCATCAAGGACCTGGAATCATCGAACTGAAAGAGTAAATTATTCGTTAATGATTTCATAATTTTTTAAAAAGCGAATCAGAGACTCGAAGGGACGCGGTTTCATATAAAATATCACGTAAAACAATTTTCGAAGCACCAAACAATGTTTATTGAAAATTGCTGCAGTCTAAAAATTTCCTTCGTTTCACATATTTCATGCGGGAAATATTTTAGGCTTCCTTTTCTTCTTTCATCGCACTTTTTCAAACTCGATTCTAAAGTGAAATTTTTCTTGGAACAAAAACTTGGATTTTGAAATATGAGTAAATTCCATCACTGCATATTTTGAAGAATTTTCAGTTTTGTTGCTTCAGTTATAAAGTTAAATTACGTTGTATCTCATCTGTCATCAAAGGACAGCTCTCATTTCTATATTCTACACCATTACTTCCATTAAATAAAAAATTAGGACTTTGTATAGAGGCAGTTTTGAAAAACTGTCATGGGTCCATTGGATCCCAGACAAAGGAATTGAATTGTGCAGTCATCAGAATGCAAGTTTTGAATAAGAACTCAAACTCTTTTCAGAGGAGTTCATTCTCAGTGACCAGATCCTCAATTGGCTGTTAATTGAATGGTTGTAATGACAGAGTCAATTGTAAGATTGGTTGGTTAGCTCAGAATATTGAATGAGGTAATTAAAGTGAAAAGGCCCTTTAACGCTAGGTTCTGACTTCTACTCTCAAAGAGGAATGAAGGGTTTTATACCCAGGTGCTTGGATTTGGAAAGGAAGAAATCAGGTGATTTCTTCCTGGCTCATGACTGGCCAATTTCAATGAAATGGAGGAAGTGATGACCACTTCTCATCCATGAGTGAGGCTCAGTGAGTCTGGCAAAAACAGGATTTTGGGGAGTCTCACTGGCCTTGAGATCCAGCAAGTTTTCTTGTCCGGTTTGTAGCCAGATGCTGGAGCTGTGCTGCTTCAAGAACCACAAATTTTCTACACTTCTGTCTCCCAGTTTTTGATAAAAAATAAGCCTTACTGATGCAGCAATTTTCAAGAAAACAACAATGGCTCTATTTCTGAATTTTAAAAACTGTGCATCAATACCATATTTTTGAAACAAAGAAACCTATCCCTTTTTGCATGAACATTACCCAAAATTTAATGAATTTATTGAATCACTTCTGTTGGTGACCAAAGTTGATGCAACACAAAGGTTGAAGGCATGCCTTGGATCAAGAAAATTAGTTTGATAAAGAAAACACAGATTCAGCTCAGGACAGGGGCCAGCAATTAGAGGTAGAATCCCTGACTTATGTCTAAAGTTTACTTCAGAAAATTGTCCCATCTAATTCAATTTAGAAACAAGTCACAAATGAGGGATAAAAATTTGCAGAGTTAACCTCTCAGCAAGCTTAGACAATGCACTGATCACCAAATGACAGCTATATAGGCATATATTCATGATGATGTCTATGGAAAAAGGGTTTTATGTTATTCATTGTGACTGGCCTTGATCTAATACAGGTGGTGACTCAGAATTTGATCTCCCACAATTTGACCATCCTGCAATTTGACAGTTGAATTTTCTTGGAAGATGTACTTGCAATTTAACCTAGGCTCCACAATTTGACCCACACAGATGAGCAAAATTTCAAATACTGTACAATGTAGAAAACATTGCATTTGGCATCGCTTTGTAATTTGACCACTGGGCAATTTGACTCTAGTTTAGCAATGGATTAGGATCAAATTGTGGGGCACCACCTTCACTATGTTCTGATGGATCAGGAAATTTTTTGGAGGCCTGGAATTGGCCAGAATAATCAGTCAAAGACAACAGCTCAGAATCTTGTGAAAAAAAGTTTTGGAAGTTTCCCCATTTTTCTGGGGCTCTTTTGGTAATTCTTCCACTCAATTTATTATATGTCTTGATTTATGAGGTGCCCACAGCACACTTATAGGGCTGTGGGTCCCCAACAACTTCCACTCAATCATGTGAATGCTCATGCGTGAAGTTTTCTGAGTTGATTATATCTTTAGAAAAATCGCTGGAAATTAGCCAAAATTCTTTGGAAAAATATTCTTAGTTTGTTTGGCAAAGTCACATTGGACATCATTGCGAGGTGCGCTTTTGGAACAAAATTGGGAAACTTGGGCGATCCCAAAAACCCATTCATCTTACACAGCAGCAAAGCCTTTCGACCTCCTTTGTTCAACAGTGCTTGGAGTCTTATACCAGGTTCGAAAAACATTTTTTGATCTATTAGTTTTTGAATGAAACAATTTAATCGGAATTTTCGCAGAGTTGTTCCCGTGGACACAACGTTTGGGACTGGAAGCCGTAATTAGCCGCGATTCAATCGATTTTTTTGTCAAGACGGTGGAAGAGGTTATTAAATCCAGGAGAGCTGAAAAATCAGTGAGTTTTCCTCCATTTCATATCTTATTCGTCAATATTTGTCGACGAATCGTCGACTTGTAAAGCTTCTGAAGAGATCTCATTTTATTTGCGAATCCATTTCCAGGTAACTTTAAAAGTACTCCTTCATTGACTATACTTTAACATTCCAAAATCTTTCATATTTCTCGAAACCCGTTCAATTAAAGGGTAGTTTCAACATTTTTCACGAATTCCGAAGATTCTATAAAGAAAAATTTTCCTTACAAAGTAAAACAAGGTTTGATTGCTTTTGAATCATTTCAGAATAAAATAAATTCATGGATTGTGCTCATTATGGAAACAGTACAGCCCATTATTCGAAATTTTAAAATAAAAATTAGGACTCTTTCAGCTGTGTTGCCACAAATTTAGATTAAGAATTCAACTATCGTAATTCGATTATTGACTGAAATTCCATACGATTACCTTGGATACTGTTTGATCATTTTTTCTCACAAGAATCGAACCTTATTTTCCAATTTTTTTTAAAAATTGTGTTTTCTACAAAAGTGAAAACTGTTTAAATTTGGCCAATATATGCACTTCTCAATCAGATCAATGAAAATTTATCAAGGAATGTAGCTTCACTACTGGTGATAAACTACAGGATTTTTTGGCGATTCGTTGGAAACATTTCACTCCCGTTAATAAAAATGATCAGTTCAATCGTTTTTGGAGATTATTATTTTAAAATAGTGGAGTATTATTTTACTTGTGAACCTAGAAACCGTGAAAAAATTTTTACTAAAAGTTTTTTTTTTTCATGAAACCACAGACAAACAAACGTGGAGATTTCCTTGAAGTGCTCCTGGAAGAAGCCCGAGCAGAGCGTGCAAAAAAGAAAAGTGACACAAGCGCAAAAATCGTCTTGACTGATGAAGTTCTCGTCTCCCAATGCGTCACATTTTTTGCAGTGGGCTACGACACTGTGGGAACTCAACTGGGAATTGCTGGTCACTATTTGGCACTGTATCCGGAATGCCAAGAAAAACTGCACGCGGAAATAGAATCCGTCGCCAAAAAATACGTCAGTCCGTCCATTGAACTACTAAAAATTGCGTTGTTTTTTTAAAAACCAAATTTACTCATTTCATTTTGATATCATTATGACTAAATTGGGATAAAGTACTGTATTTTAATGAAAATCTTCTGGGATTTTTTAAAATTTCAAATCCAAAGTTACCACGATTCATGCACTCGTGTGATAATATTTTTATTTAATTGAATTTTCGTTAAATTTTATAATTTTGGGTTGATTTTATTTTGATATATCATAAAATATATTAGAATCTGCGAGCATTTATATATTAAAGAGGTGCAAATAGAATATATATTCTACTAGAAAGAATGTATTTTATTCCAGACATTGATCTATTACACTTCATCTGATTAAAATTTCAAGAAATTTTTTTTCTGTTGGATGGAGCAGAATGGTTTGAATCACGAAGCGATTCAAGAATGCCAATACCTGGATCAAGTTCTTAGCGAAGCTCTAAGAATTTATCCCACGGTGACAATGTAACTCGTTTTTTTTATGAAAACCGAACTTATTAATGCATTACAATGATTCGTTTTTGTTTCGTTTCAAGAATTGAACGTAGGTGCACAAAATCCTGCGAGATCAAGGGACTGCAGTTTTGCAAAGGCGACACAATAGCTTTGCCAATTTATACTATTCAGCATACGGAGGAATATTATTCGGATCCCGAGACCTTTGATCCCGAAAGGTAAACTGTAAAAATTATGAAAAACGGGATAATTCCTTATCAGATTTTGAATGACAGAAATGTGCAAGATAAATGTCAGAAGTACAATTCCTGATAACTGCCATTCAAAGCTTATATACAGTATAATCTGCCCTTTTTCTGCTCATTATTGTTCCAGAATGAGCATTGAGGTGAGCTTTTTTTTTTGCACATGTTATCAGCTGTGCTAATATGTCTGAACTTTTTCCTTGACCATTGTAATGCGTACCTGCTCATTAATGCGGTATGGCTGTGCAAGAATGTGCAGCAACTCTGCTTCTCTCTCTCTCTCTCTCTCTCTCTCTCTCTCTCTCTCTCTCTCTGTCTCTGTCTCTTTCTCTGTCTCTCTCTCTCTCCCTCTGTCTCTCTCGCTCTCTCTCTTAGAATAGATTACCTTTGCCCAAGGCAATGGTCCACCAGTTAATTATGCTCATGAAACGCTGTTGCCAGGTTCTTCTTCTTTGGTTTGTCTGATTCTCATTCTAGTACAATGACCTCTGTAATCAAGAATTACAAAAGGAGGCTGAAAAAAGGTGATACATCCAAAAATAAAACACATCATTTAGCCGGGGATTTCCTTGAGGAAATCCCAAAAGATAAAATATCAACTGCAGTTCTTTACCCCAAATTAATTCACAGATCACAAGATGACACAAGAGATTTGAATCACACAATAATAGATTGAATTCATATAAAAAAATCAGATTCACAGGTAAAATGGGATTCACACATGAAAGGCAGGGAGATTGATGTTAATCTCATAACGGTTGGTGCCAGACTGTCAACCTGATTGGCTGAAAGCCACAGGTGACAAATTCTACTACACACTTGGAATGGACTGCCATATCTATATAGGCAGTACAATTGGAATGTTCTCAAAAGTTCTGAAGCATTCTAAATTACTTGAGAGAATGCCCAGTGTGTGATGTCATGCAGGTGTCTCATTATTCTGTCACAACCTCAGTCTGGTCCTCCTATAGTTGATAAAAGGCCCCTAGACCTTCTGTAATATTCAGTGGTGAAAGTCCTTCTGCAAGGAGAAGTCTGTAGCAGGATATTTTGTTGTATGCTTATGATATAAGAAAATATAATACTTGCTCAGCAACAGAACTTGTGTTATTTACTTAAAAGTCACCTAGGGGTACTTAATGTACCTGCAGATGAGTGATGACTAAAAAGAGAAAATCTAAAATTAAATTACTCTACAGTCTACACTCATCTGATCATCCTCTTAAAGGTTGGCAAGACCAGGGAGGAACTAACCTGCTGTGAGCTATAAAATTGAAACTTAACAACAACACACAAAATTTATAATTTCATGGTGTTTATTTTTCGAAAATTTTCTGACAGGTTTGCACCCGAGAACAAGACAAAACTGGTCCCGTATACGTACTTTCCGTTCGGACAAGGGCCTCGAATTTGCATCGGAATCCGGTTCGCCATTGAAGAAACAAAACTCGCCTTAGGCCACTTGATTCAATCTTTTAAGCTCTCGAAATGTTCAAAAACTAGCGTAAGTACTTGAAATTAAATCCCGGGTACCCGTTTTATCAGTATGGGTGCATCGGGTTGACGCCTAACCAGAATAAAATTATGACCTATATATACAGACATAGCAAAGCATTCTTAGAGAGCTCAATAGAATGTTTAGAATTTAGAATGTTTAAAGGCTAAGCAATGCTCAAAATTTCTTCACATGCATCTATTAATTGAATATTATTCTCAATTCTTCAGCACCCACCAAAATATGAAGGCAACCGCATCATTTCAATGCCAAAGGAACTGTTTGTCAAGGTGGAAAAGCGACTTGAAAAATAAGGCTCAAGCTCTTTTGTCGGGCTATTTTTTGTGTATGGTTGAAGAAAGCAAAACGCATGCTGAAAAGAACAATGTTGAAATGCAAAATTTCGAAAAATGCTTTCCAAAAATCTTTTCAGGTCATTCTGAGAAGTGTGCCAGGCCTCAAAACAGTATTAGCCTTCATTACTTTTTGGGGGGAGGGGCTGAGGAATATTTTGAATTTTAAAAAGGCTATGCAGTAAAAAGTACATTATTTCATTTGAGGCCAAATGCACACCTTACCCCCCTAATAGGAGATGATTGACATACTTTCAGGTACAGTATATAAATAACGGCTCCAGCACAACTCACTGCACCTTTACTTGCTGCAGCTGTGCTTGCTGCACCAAAAGTTGCCACTGATACAGCTTGCCGCTGTCATCACTTGCTCCTGTAACAACCTGCCGCAAGGGCAACTCACCACAGAAATAACCTGCTGCTGATACAAGTTGCTGCAATTAAATTTAATATTGCAGCATATTTGAGAGTTCACAAAACATACGAGAGGGTAACTATTCATGGCTAAATTCATGGAAACACCCTCTAAATATTCCATGAGTGTTCTTGAACTATGTGAACTCAACAAACTTTGAAAATTCTTGGTAATTTTTCTGCATTTTTCTTTTAATTCATAGGGTTCTTTTCCTTTTTACAGCAGCATATACAGTTCTTTGGTATGCTTCTTCCTTTTTCAATGCATTGATTAGTTTCCAAATTGAATTCCTTTACAATAAGATTACATTTAATCATGCAAGATGAGCATTATTCATGTGTGCATGGCAAGTTATTGTAGTGGTGAGTTTTGGGTGCAGCAAGCCATGTTCAGCAACTTTACTTGTCTCAGTTATTCTGGCAAGTTGTAGCAGCGGCAGGTAGAGTCTAGAGCAGTGAGTTGTGTCAACACAATAAATAAACATGTTGACACAACTCACTGCTCTAGAACTTGCTGCTTTCATAATTCACTGCACCCCTTCTGACTTGCTGCTGTCATAACTTGCTGCAAAACTGACTTACAGCTGTTGTGGCAGAATAATTTGGTATGCTACTGCACTGTTCTTTACACACGGGTGCAACAAACACCTGTAATATGGAATTCAATTACTTTCAGGAATTTGCAGGAATGTTCCAGAATGTTCAACCTGGAACAGATTGATGCTGCCATTTTAATTAAATCACAGTCAGTCTAACGCAAGATCTCATCAGAGTCAGTCAAATTTGCGTGTGATCAAATTTGTGTGATTATTCTTATCTTGGGGTTAAAAACAAAATATACTTCATCTTTTCTTTGGGATCTTATTAACAGGATCCCCAGCTGAACCGCACAGCTGATTGAAGTGTTTTATTTCCGAATTCCGCGCCTTTTTGCACCATTTTTGGTGACAGCTGTCAGTTCTTGCCACACAGACAACCTGCCACTGCTACAATTTGCCAGAATAACGCAGGTTGAATGTGATTCTCAGTCAAAAGTCTTATAATCCAATGATATCTTTGGAAAAATGCCCAAGTTCACTTCTATTTCTGCCCATATTTTAAAAACGACAAAGATTTCTTGTGGCACTAAGTGAGTTGGCACTGAATCTGGGTTTCCTCCTTAGAACATAATGAAGGGAGATTTTCACCAGTGAAATTTGTGGTAATATGCCAGGGTGGTACTAAATTGGGGGCACTAAATAAATGGTTGACTGTACATGAATATCTCATATTTTAGCATCTTTCATTTTCATTGATCACTCCCTGAGTCCCCGGCAAGATCAGTTCAAAACTAATTTTGGGTAATCATATACTGTATATATAGAAGCAGAGTACGTGGAGATTATTGTCCTTTTTTTACGTGCACCGGTGCACCATTACCAAAGTTTCATGCCGAATTCCCTTTAAATTAAATAAAGTAATGATTCATAATCCGAAGTACTGTATCTGACCTTTTATGGGTACATTGCTGCTGTGTCGCTAACTCCTTATAAAGTGACAAGCTCACAATAACAGCCTGCATGTGTGCGAGACGGATGCTGCCGCATGGCAAAAAGTATTTTATGGCTGCCGGTGCCTTCATATATTGCACAGACACACACCAGCAGGGTGATTCAGCATTTATTACAGTGAAGCTAGCTCTGGTGCTTGTCTGCATCATGTACCCACACCCTAGCTTGGGATGTTTTCTTACACAGCCTGAACTTTTGATTGGATTTTGTGGAAAAACATTCCTTTTTTACGTGCCTGCTATTGGTGATTTTTGATGGAAGTTCTCCACGATTGATGCCATCCATACAGTGAAGAATTTACACTGCAAACTCATGCACTGTAGAATTTTGCTACAGTCCATAAATCAATTGGGACACCAGGAAAAAAAGCCAACGACGAAATTTGGAGAAAGTTGTGACTACTTTGCAGGAATCTAAAAAACGAATCTTCCATGAGCTAAGATAATTTATGGTTCGATTTTTTGTGACAAAATTTTAATGTTTAAAAAAAACTACCTACAGGCAAGAAAGGTGCATTTATCTCATGAAAAATATCCCAGAATGTGAAATGAGCAGTTCTGCTACTTCTGCAAGCATACAACTTTGAATTCCAACCATTTGTGGTCAGAAAATATGTTTTCTTAATTTTCTTATTGTCTTTATGGTCATTTTCAGTGTTTTTTTTAATATTATAATTAAAAAGGGATTTTAAGAATCACAGTTCGCATGAGAAATTTGTTTTTAGTGGTGCTGGATTGAAAAAAAAATGCGCACATTCTTTTCAAATTTATATTATATTTAGTGGTATTCAGCAAAATTTTTACCAAATAAAAGCATCGGGACATACTATGAATATAATCAAACAATTGAATTACCCTTTTTGTTCAAAGAACCGTTTTTTCGCGTAAAACTTCAACTCCACCCAGAAAATCATTTCAAAATATTACTGAAAATAATCAGACACTTGAAATTACTGTATGTTGAAAAATTTAGGATTTTGTAAAGATACAGGGTATACGACCAATGCGGAAATTTACGCAGTTTCCATATTTATTTATATATCTATCACTGAAACTGACTTGGGCCATTAACCGATGAGACATAACGGTATTCATGATGTAAAAAAATAACATTTTTTTTATATCAGGAGAAGCAAACCTTAAATCATGGAGATTTTGGGATTTGAAGTCCCCCTGTGGATAATTTTGTTCACCGTATTCGTAATTTGGTTCTACAAGTTCTTGTATTCCGGATACAACTTTTTCGCTAAAAGAGGGATACCAACAGTCAAGCCGATTTACCCGATCGTTGGCAACCTTTGGGGGATTTGGAACAAGGTTAGTGTCTATATAAACACTTATTTGTTGATCGAATTTTTTACGAGAACTTCCCAATTAAATGTCCCACAGGACGCCCGAAAGTGGACCGACGAAAATGTGCGAAAATATGGTAAATTTTTTGGGTGAGTGGCAATTGAATTGGTAATGCTGACATTAACGCTATGTTACTGATAGAATCAATTTTTTCTGATTTTTTTTGTTGCTGATTTTTAGAATGTACGATGGAAAAGCTCCATTGCTTTGCGTCAGTGATCCAGAGGTCCTCAAAGAGATATTTGTGAAAAAGTTCGACTGTTTCGTCGACCACCAGGTAGAAAAACAAAGAAATGGAAACATTTTCATAAATAAAATTTTGACAGAGAAAACACAATGAAGAGCTATCTTATTTGGCAGCAATTTTCAGCGCGTTTCGATCAGGTGAAATACATTCGAAAATTCCTTTTCGTCATAAGTGGCCAAGATTGGAAAGATGTAAGAAGCTCTGTTACTCCAGCTTTTTCAAGCGGGAAAATCAAGAAGGTTAGTAGACCCGAATTGAATTGTATGAGAAAAAAGAGCAAACGCAAAATTGAGCGCGTCACAAAATCGCTAGAATTTTGAAACAGCTCTTGTTCAAAATAGTTTTCAGCGCAGAAAAAAACCTAATAAATGTCTCCATTGCCATGGAAGTTTAAAACTTTAATTGATAAATAAGACAGCGTATTTTTTGTCTGTAGAGTACGACGTTTTTTTTCAATTGTAACAAAAAATGGTTTGATTTACACATTCAACAAGGGGTATAACGCGATATGGTGAATTTATTCTCCTGCTGATCAAGCGCTGGATCGTTTTTCACTAAAAAAAATGCCTCAAAAATGTATAGAATTAACTAAAACATATATTTGAGAAATATTTCTTGGAGAAAAAGCGCAGGATTCGAAACTTCGAGTTCTTTTTCATCTAGCTGTGTCTTGACTTTTGAGTCTTGACACACTTGAAATCAAGCTCATCACCGGAAAAAATCGCAAAATTACATGCATAGATTCATTAAGAAATTCAATGAATTAAACCACTCCTTGGACTTGTGTGTGTTCCATTTAATTTTTAATTTCACTGCATTAGTTCTGTCATTTGTTGTATACCCCTTTTGCCTTGAGACGCTCTCAACTTTTCTGGACCCTCGAAAGTTTTTGCATAATTTTCCACGAAATAAATTTGCGATTTATATTTGCAGATGTCACCTATTATGGTGGAATGCTGCTACAGAATGCTTGAAAGTGCACAAAATATCGCCGAAGGACCGGGAATCATTGAGCTGAAGAAGTAAATTATTTTAAAATATTCTATAACTTTTCATAAGACAGTGCAGAAACCATACAAATATCAATAATTTACTTATTGCTGAAAATTATTTAGAAGAAATAACTAATTCAAACTTACTATAAGCAAAATCAAAAGGAGAGCTATTAGTTTCATTTCAATTTATAAATCTTTTAATTATTATACATTTTAAAAGATTATAAGTAAATATTTGTATTATGAAAAAACATATAGAAAACCATAATGAGAAATCTGGAAAATAATTACTTACAAAGTACAAAAAAAAGCTCTAGGTTATGATGACATAAACATTTGTTGACCAAGACCCCATTGTACTAAATTTATAAATCAGAAAACATGTTTTTATATTTTCATGAATACACGTGGACTCTTGTCTACAACAAAATTCAAGGGACCAGAAAAATTCGCTGTAGAGAGAATTTTCTTGTCTAGAACCCCATACAATATGGCAAGAGAACATTCTGCAGCAAAAAAATTGTTACACAGTATGACAGTACACAGAAAAGCATTGTAGACAAGCATATCCTGCTGGAGTCCACCTGCATATAAAAATGTACCAATTGTGAGAAATATACAATATACAGTTCATCCTCTCTTTGACATGATTTGACATAAGTCAAATTTCTAGGGACCGCGAATAAAATCCAACTTGGGTGGGAAGGTTTTAATTTTTTGAGCTTCTGAGTCAGGGAAACAAAACATTTTGTTGTAAGAAAAAGTTTTAAAAAAATTGTGGGAAATTGTAAATGAGGAAAATAACTAATTCAAACTTACTATAAGCAAAATCAAAAGGAGAGCTATTAGTTTCATTTCAATTTATAAATCTTTTAATTATTATACATTTTAAAAGATTATAAGTAAATATTTGTATTATGAAAAAAACATATAGAAAACCATAATGAGAAATCTGGAAAATAATTACTTACAAAGTACAAAAAAAGCTCTAGGTTATGATGACATAAACATTTGTTGACCAAGACCCCATTGTACTAAATTTATAAATCAGAAAACATGTTTTTATATTTTCATGAATACATGTGGACTCTTGTCTGCAACAAAATTCAAGGGACCAGAAAAATTTTCTGTAGAGAGAATTTTCTTGTCTAGAACCCCATATAATATGGCAAGAGAACATTCTGCAGGAAAAAAATTGCTACACAGTACACAGAAAAGCATTGTAGACAAGCATATCCTGCTGGAGTCCACCTACATATAAAAATGTACCAATTGTGAGAAATATACAATGTACAGTTCATCCTCTCTTTGACATGATTTGACATAAGTCAAATTTCTACAGGGACCGCGAATAAAATCCAACTTGGGTGGGAAGGTTTTAATTTTTTGAGCTTCTGAGTCAGGGAAACAAAACATTTTGTTGTAAGAAAAAGTTTTAAAAAAATTGTGGGAAATTGTAAATGAGGATATTTTGGGCCCAAACTTGACTTGGGGGGGGTTGACTTAACAAGGTTCAACTTTAATATTGGTTTTGGAAAAAGTGAAATCTTCCAAAAAAAAGTGGCATGGGGATCTGCCCCAGCTTTTATAAACAAGATTTCCTTCAGTTAAGAAGTAAATAACGACATCAATCACTCAATAACAATTTGGAACTTCAATTATCCACAAAACCAAAGACTAAATATTCAAGCAATAAAGCGCATAGCAGAACCTCTTCGATTCGGCAGGCGAATCTACTAAGAACTTTCAGAAGAGAAGCAACGAAGGCTTAAATTATATCTGGTTCATCGGAAGAAAAATAAAGTTAGAATGATCAGATCAGGATTTGAAATATGACAGCCATCAGCAGTGATGATGTGATATATAGACAAAAGTCTTCTGAGATGTGGAACCACTTTGAAGACTTGATTGGCAAGTTTTTCCTTTTTCCTTGTAGTAAGAAAAAACTTTGTCCTTTTCAATGCTTGTAAATACCTTAAATTTCCTCATGACATCCACTGGATTTTAGTATGTTTTTGGATTGCAATTTTGTTTTTTTTCCTTTCAGATCTCACTTATATTATTTCACCATGCAGGAACAGGAGATTCCTTGGAACGATACGAGCTTCAAAATGTTTACCTCGGAAAATTCCATTGTATTTTGAGTTTTTTTTCTTCCGTCCAGTCATTCGTAATGAGATACGCTGGGAGATCAAGTTCAAGTTTGTTTTTCTCGGGAAAAAGTACTGCATAAGACTGGTTTTCTTTTGTGAACATTGAGTGCCTAAATTGAGTTTTTTTTCTTCCGTCCAGTCATTCGTAATGAGATACGCTGGGAGATCAAGTTCAAGTTTGTTTTTCTCGGGAAAAAGTACTGCATAAGACTGGTTTTCTTTTGTGAACATTGAGTGCCTAATTGTCACATTGAAAAATGAACATAATATCGTACAACAAATGACACAGGGGCTGGTGTTTGACAAGGACTTGACTGGAAAATGCTCTCACCATATGAGAAAAAAATGTGCTTTGCAAATAACAAGCTCATCTGTAACCTTCTCAGAAAAAAGGGACAGACTTTCTCATTTTATTGAAAACAGGCAGTACCTTGAAATTTGACCCAAATCTATTGCCAAACTTGGGTAAAATTGCAAAGCAGTCAAATTGCAAGACACTTTCTTAAATTCAAAAACATCAATGCAAATATGTGAAACAAATGGCAAGAGCAGGTCAAATTGCGGGCAAAGGTCAAATTGCAACTCCTGCAAATTGGACCATCAATATCAAAATGGTTGAATTGTGGGAGGTCAAATTGTAAGGTACCACATGTACTGCGCAGTATTATAAATTTAAAATGTTCAAATGCCCAAGAGCCTTTTGCAAGGATTCTTTCAGAAAATTACGCAAGACCTGTCAGGAATAAATCCCAACAAATAAGGATTTTAAATTAGAATAGGTTTTGGAATGTTTGAAAAGAGTTAATTTGGAAATGAAACGCAGTGATTTGGTCGGGTTGCGACCGGGGTGAGTTCACCCTATTCTAAGTTGGTATATTTGTAGAAAGTGATTGATTGTCACTGAAAACTCGCAAAATCTCGGAGAAGTTGCACACACAAATGCTTGAGACAAACTGTGTTGAATCTTGTGGTTTTCCAAAACAGGAAAGCAGTCCTTCAAGGACAAGAATTAGCAACAGGATTTGTGGATAAATGTAGCCTTGGAGGCTTCTGTAAGCAACGTGAGAACCAAGGTCTTCTGAGGTTCTCACAGAAAGTAGATTTTGTCCCCAAGGACGAGAATTTGAGTTTTCAAACTGACTTGCTAAAAATAGAACTAAAAAATTCGCAACAAGACCTTCTATACAGGCATTAGTTAATAGTTACAGACACAAAAATAATAATATAATTAGTTTTAAAAATCTGGAAAAGCATAGACATTGAGTCTGGAAATGTTTGCAGTTTTTTTGGAAAAGTAACTCTGGATGTGATTGCGAGATGTGCTTTTGGGACGAAGTTGGACAACTTGGACGACCCCAATAATCCATTTGCGGTCAACAGCGCCAAAGCTTTTCGACCGCCTTTGTTCGACGGTGCTTGGAGTCTCATCCCAGGTAGGGATTGTGCCAAAAATTATCAGAAAATGTCTATATTTCGCATATATTCACAGACCTTTTCCCGTGGACGCAGATTTTTGGGCTTGAGGCTTTCATAAGCCGAGATTCAATCGAGTTCTTCGTCAAGACTGTAGAAGAGGTCATAAAATCGAGGAAAGCTGACGGTTCTGTGAGTTATTTTCTGTGATTCTCTGTAGAATTTACAAGTGATTTGAAATTTTTCACGTCCAAGAAGAATTGAAGAGCTTTAAAGAGCTTGTGCTAATATTTATCTAGTTTACAAAGTGTCTTGCAATTTGACAGCTTTACAATGTGACCATATATAGTCTAGCAACGGATTGAGGGCAAATTGCAATAAGGTACCACCTGTATTTTGCTTTAGAAGTTTATACTGAGCGAAAAAACACATTATTTCCTGGAAATGTGCTCTATGATTATCGCAGAGACCCATCAAGGCATCACCTTTGTAGATTAAAGATAATCCTATGGATATATTGACAAAAATTAATTTCTTTGTAGCAATTCAAGGATGCTGTCATCAGGGAACAAAAGAGATAGCCCAGACGCACCAACACAGAACAGCTAAGCAACTTTTTACAATTGATCTTCAGGTAATAACCAAAGAAAACCAGCTCAAAACAAGTCCTCAAGATAACAATCTAAAAAATTACAGCCTCTCAAAACAAGAGAAACTAACTTGATTTCCTCATCCATTTTGCTGGTGTTGGGATCTTGTGATTTTGAGTGTGAAAATTGATTACCAGAAAGACTGTAAAACCTGCTAAATACTTTTTCTTCCTGGAGACTTTGTCTCAGCCAAAAATGGCGTATTATTGTCATTAACTTTTTTCTAGAGTGATTCTCCAATATTTATTTTTCTCTGGACTTTAAAGTCATCTCCCTGATAGTTACAATTTTTTTTCAAATATATGTTGAAGCCTGGCAAATATTCATGTATAAATAAAATATATCTTTATTGTGGTTAATAAACAGTGGTTTTTGCACTCTGATTTTCAGATTGGCAAGCGTGGGGATTTTCTCGACGTTCTCCTTGAAGAAGCTGCCGCAGAAAAGGCAAACAGGGCCAAAGATCCGAATGCAAAATCCATCTTATTGGACGAAGAAGTTCTTATTTCGCAATGCGTCACATTTTTCGCAGCAGGTTACGACACTGTTGGAACTCAACTTGCGATGGCGGGACATTACTTGGCATTGTATCCCGAGTGCCAAGAAAAGCTTCACAAAGAAGTGAAAGCAGTGGCCGAGAAATACGTGAGTTGCGCTGCAAACAAGATTCCTGATGAAAATAATCATCTTAGGTATAAGTGTTCTCATCTTGAAAGATATTCTTAGGAGTTTATATTCTTTTCATTAATCATTCTTTGGGAGGAGACGTTTTTCCAAAGACAAAAGTGTCTAGATAATTCTCTTGTGATTTAGGATAACAAACGATAAAATGATAAATCATTTGAAAAAAATAAAAAAAATTGACACGCAGCAGGTGTTTGATCTCTAAATGTGATGGAAATTAGACACGATCGAATTTTGGAAATGGAACAACTGATTTTCAGTCTTTGACCAATTTCAGGAATGTTGGTCAATCATTTGTGGGTGCACCCTTTTCATCCTTTTCCGAAGAATGTCCTCTCTGCTTGCTCTAAAATTGAATTTTCAATTTTTCTCTCAATTTTTTTCATGCATTTAGCAGTATAAACTTTAAAAGTTATGAACAAGCCTTTGTACAACACAGTCACAAAGAAGAAAAAGGGAACAATTCCATCAACTGAACAAGGTTTCAAAAGAATCCGTTCTATATGCAGAATAGTCTAGAAGGTGTGAACATGCTCCATGTCTTTTGCTTGAATTTCAAATTTATCATTATTTTTTCAACAGAATGGTTTAAATCACGAGGCGATTCAAGAATGTCCCTACATGGATCAAGTTTTGAGCGAGGTTCTCCGGATTTATCCCCTAGACTCAACGCAAGTTTATTGTTAAATTATGCATGAAAAATCATGAGGAAATCAAGAAATCGCCGATTTTTTTTTCTCTCCAGAATCGACCGAGAATGTACGAAGTCTTGCGAAATCAATGGACTGCAATTCAAAAAGGGAGATGCAGTGGTCATCCCCATGTGGTCCATTCAACATAATGAGGAATATCATCCTGATCCAGACACTTTCCGCCCTGAAAGGTAATACAGGTGGTACCCTGCAATTCCACCTCCCTCAATTCAACTGTCCCACAATTTTATGGTCAAATTTGCAGGGAGGTTGACTAGTAACTCTAACCTTGCTCCACAATTTGACCTGTTTTTACCATTTTTTGCATTTGTTGCATTGATATTCTTGAATTTCATGAAGTGTCTTGCAATTTCACTGCTCTGCAATTTGACCCTACTAGTTTGGCAATATAATATGGTCAAATTCCAAGGTACCACCTGTAAACATATTGAATTGGTAATAAAATTAATAATAATTTATGCAAAAAATAAATCCTTATCACTAAAATTGTAAATTAATGCACTTATTGGAATTCTTCCAAGAGGTAAAATCTTTTTAAATGTTGGGATTTGGTGGGGAAATCAAATGTTTTGCCCCACAAATGAATTGATTGGTGTATAAATTACATAAACAATGTTTGAAGAAAGAATATAGGAACTTCAATCACTTGACCTGAGGTAAAATATGAAAGTCCTATTTAGGTCAAATATATTTTCACTGAGACATTCAAAGGAACAATGCAGTCAACAATTTTCAAGTTTAACTGCTATATTATTGCAACCCATGGAAATTTGACAGAGAGTTTTTGAGCTGGGGAAACTAGCATTAGCATTTTTCCTTTAAAAAAATGAGGAATCACATAAAGTTAAAATTGGTATAATTTTTGCCTTGAATTGAATTGCTGTATTGTAAATGAGTTCACGGCAGGAGGCTGAAGTCACTGGAGACAAGGGTTCCTTTACTAAATTATTCAATTTTTTGCTTTTTTAAATCAGCAAGTTTTATTTTCTCTGTTTTTCTATTTCCTGGTCCCCGAAATAATATTCTGAAGAAGGCCTTCGGAAAATTTTGTGCACAGACGCTGGATCGTGAAAATCTTTGAGAATAAGGACTATAGTAATTATACGTGATTCTGGTGAGAAAATGCACAGCAAGAAAGTGAATAAAAATAAAAATTGAGAACTATAGATTTTCAATTTGTGACGTTTGAATTATGAACCATATTTGCTGCAATAAGTGAAGCTCTTACAAAATTCGATAGGTAGTTTTAACTTGGTTACCAATACTTGAGAGATCTAAAAATAAATGCAGAGAACAAGGAACAGTTCAATTGGGGCTTCTTTCTTAAATGTTCAAATCTTGAGGAAGTTCATGAAATTCACTCACGAAATGTTTGGACACTTTTTTCCTTGAAGGTTCGCACCGGAAAACAAATCGAAAATGGTCCCATACACGTACTTTCCCTTCGGCCAAGGACAAAGGGCATGCATCGGAATGCGATTCGCTTCAGAGCAATCTAAGCTGACCCTGGGTCACTTTATCCTGTCTTTCAAACTCTCCAAATGTTCTAAAACAAACGTGAGTTCATCCAGAAAAATCTATATGCATTTACTGCTGCGATGAATTAATTGCGTTCAATATATATGCTTCCCACAGCATCCACCAAAATATGAAGGAAACCGCATCATCTCAATGCCCAAGGACTTGTTTGTCAGGATTGAAAAGCGTGTCGAATAATAAGAAGTCATGTGCTTCTGTCAAATTTTTCATCGATTCAACTGCATTTACTATATAAAACTTTGTGAATCGTGTTACAGTATTTTCTCCCTCGGAACTCGTGATAAAGCGCTCAAAAACTCGCAGCAGACGATGAAAGAATTTTTCTTCATCCCTGTCGTGAAATCTTGATTATTCAAACAAAACGCAAAAATCCATCCGCAATAATCGCATAGATTTTAGATACTGGCTTTATTCTTGAGCGTCCGTCAGAGCACATAAAAAATGCGTGGTTATCACAGATTTGAATATAAATTGCAGAAAATTAAAAATATTCGCGAACAGCATTCATTACAATATTCTGAATGACACACGCCATAATAATCTGAGAAATCATGAAAAAAATTATATATATAGAACTTCGGGGTAAAAGAGAGGCTTTATAAATACCAAAACGATGAGATAACAATAAACAGTTCCTGCTTCCTTTTCGGTCACCTGCCATTGTTGTTTGTTCCTTCGGACGATGGCATTGTTTTGTTAATTTTCTGCATGAAATAACAATGATGCAAAATCAATTTTTCTCCCAGGGGAATGTTTTCAAATTTTGAGAAAAACTATCTGTTGTGCCTAGAATGAGAGGCTACACACAATTGTAAGCTAATG